AAATGCTTGTGGGGAGGCAGGATGGAAGGAGGGAGGGAAGAGAGAAGGAAAGAAGGAGGGAAGAAAGGAAGGAAGGAAGGGAGGAGGGAAGAGACAGATGTAGAAAGAGACCGGAAAAGAAAAAGACAGGGACAGAGCCAGAGAGAGCAGGAGGACAGACAGACAAGGAGACACGGAGACACAGAGAGAAAGACGGAGGCAGGGAGAAAGAGACAGACAGCAATAGAAAACCACAGGAGCCACGGAGAGAGGGAGAGACAGGAGAGAGAGAAAAGGATCTGCAGCACTCAGTCCAGCTCTGACCTCTGTCCCGCAGCCCTCGGAAACAGGGCTGGACACACAGTAGGTGCTCGGGAAATGTATGTAGAAGGAACGGGGGCCTCCACCTGTCAAGGATACTGGGAGAATGACCGTGAGGATCACACCTCTTCGTCTCTGGGCTGGCCCTGAATGTGCCCTCGAAATTTGTTTCCCTCAGACAGAAAGACAATAAGGCCAGCTTTGTTTGGGTGAAAAGGCAGGCAGAATGTTCTAGAATGGTGGCTGCCGTCTCCCGCTCCGTGCTGGAGCCTGCTTAAGGTTCTCTCTCCCTCCCTCTGCCCCTCTCTGCCACTCTGGCTCTCTCAAAAAAAAAAAAAAAAAAAAAAAAAAAAAAAAAAAAAAAAAAAAAAGAGGCTCAGAAAGAAACTAGCCAGAGAAGGGCCTGGGGGACAAGCCAGGGCCAGGGCTGGGACGGGGAGCTGGGCACAGGGAGACAGGGAGAGCAGCTGGCCCCTCTGACATCTGTGGGGAGAGTTTGGGGAATGCCAGCAGCCAGCTTCTGGAAAGTGGGATCCCAGGGGGATCGGAAAGTCCATCTCTGGGTCTGTCCTCAGTCCCTGTGTCTGTCCTCAGTCCCTGTACCGGCATCAGGCCCTTCAGGCCATCATCCAAGGAGGGAGGGGCAAGAGGAAAGGTCAAGAGTCCTTCCTGCGTCCGTTTGGCGGCAGGAGGATTGGAGAACAGAAGGAGCCCCAACTTCGAAGGAGGAGCCCAGCCTGCGGGTCCCTCGGGAAAATGGGGCCACTGCTATCTGTCCAGAAGGCCTTTTAAGCGCTCTCTCTGGCTCTCTCACCCCAGACTAAGCCTGGCCCACTGCGTCCTCTCCCCTCTGGAGCCTGGCCCCTGGTGCCAAGCCTCCCCCCATCTGTCCCCACACCCAGAGCTGGCCTTGCACCTCCCCAGCTCACCGCCCTCCCAGGGCTTTCCACCTCCACCCAGCCAGGCTTCGCCACCAAGAAATAACCCCGTCTCCCCCCACCCCCACCCCACCCCCGAAATTCGCACTGTAAGCACGCCTTTGGGGAAGAGCTTGGGGCACAAATGTGAGGCCACCACCTGGAAGTCCTCGACTTGATTCCCAGGACTGGAATGGAGGGGGGGGGAGTGGCTCGGGGGCCAGGGATCCCTGGGGCCACGGTGGGCCTGGAGGTGCGGGTGGCAGCAGCCTCGGGGACCCTGAGGACCCCTGGGTCCTGTGGGTGGGTCCTGCGACCCCGAGGTCGCAGGAGGTGGAGGTGGGGGGTGGCGGGGAGAGGCGAACAGGAAACTCTCGCACAGCAGGCCCTGCCCCGCACGGTGATTCTTAGGTAAGCTCCAGGAAACTGGTGACGGGAGGGAGGGAGCTGGTGGCCTGGGGCTGGAGAGGAGAGAGTGGTGGTGATGAGGGAGGTGCGGGCTCAGGTGGTCCATCGGCAGGGAAGGAAGGGGAGGGGAGCGGAGCGGAGCGGGGCGGCGGCTGGGGCTCACGGGGAGATGAGACGACTGGGGTGCTGGGTGCAGAGGAGGTGGGCTCCTGGGCGGCGAGGGGTGGACCCTCTGCTGGCGGAGACCCCGGGGCGGGGGCGGGCATCCCAGAGGGGATCCCTGAGTTCAAGTGCGTCCCAGCACTCGGCCCCGTGCGCGCGCTCTCGCCAGCGCGCAGCGGGTCGGGGAGAGCCTCTCCCCCTACACCCCCGCCCCACCTCGCCATCTCTCACCTGGTTCCGCCGCAGGAATCCGGGGGCCGACGACGGGGCTGCTCCGCGAGCAGATCGGGTGCTCCCTCGTCGGAGATCGACCCTTCACTCAGAAGTCTGAACCTTCCAGCACCCGGGTCCGGAAAACCCCGCCCAGGCTCTACCTGGCCTCCCCGAGCCGTAGGGGGGGGGGTGGCGGGGTTTAGGGAGCCAGGTGTGCCCGGCGCCCCACCTCCCACCCCACGTGACTGCTGGGACGCTGGCCCGGGAGGCCCCTCGGGAGGAGGCCGGCTGAGTCCAGCCCGGCCTGGCTCGTCCGGACTCAGCCCTGCCAGGGTCCTCCTGGGTTTCTTTATTTGGGCCCCAACCGCAGCATTTACGTGGTCTGCTAACCTCCTTCTATCTTCGCCACCGGGTGAGGTCGGTGCGCTCAGCGGCCCTGTGGTGCAGGCGGAGATTCCAAGGCCCCGAGACGTGAAGTAACTCGCTCAAGGTCACACAGCTAGGAAGTGAGAGGAGCTAGGTTTCGCAACCGGGCTGGCCAGAATCTCGGATACACCCTGGCGAGCACCGACTCTTCTCACTCTCCCTGCTTTCAAAGAAAGATTCTCTTCGGAAATGAAAATCCCCTAACCGTACATCACAGGGCCAGGCTACGCTTGTCTGCGGCCGCCAAAATCAAGTGCAAGATCGAGGAGGAATTTTCCAGGGGAGGGAGGAGCCCCCACCAGTCCTAACACTGAAAGGCAACAGCTCCTCCCGGCTCCTGAGTGAGTGGACGGGCGGCCCCACCATCCATGGATCTCACCCTCCGCCCCTTCCCTGCAAAAAACGAAAACCATCCGGGGGCGCCTGGGTGGCTCAGTCGGTTGAGCGACCAACTTGGGCTTCAGCCCCTGATCTCGAGGTTTGCACGTTCGAGCCAGGTTCGTCACTGACAGGGGGGAGGCTGCTTGGGATTCTCTCCCTCCCCCCCCCCCCACCTCTCTGCCCCTCCCTGCTTCATGCTTTCTCTCTCTCAAAATAAATAAAACAAACCTTTAAAAAAATCTGAATCGGATCAAGCCTCTCGGTGTGATCGCCGGTTTTCAGAAAAACAGGAGGATAAAGTCGCCAGTGAATGGACACCGCGAGGGTGCATTGGGCCAAGTCCAGAACGTGGGACGGTCCACAGGACATATGACCCGGCTCCCCCAACACTGGAAGAAAAGGAACAAGCAAAGAGGAGGCTCGTAAGATATGCAAAGCAGCTTCTGGGCTCCGAAACATAGAAACGGATTTTTCACCTATGTGCATCTCCGACAGGATGTTTAAAAGTCACGGGGATGTGGGACACATCTCTATGTAACAGTTATCAGCATTTATCCTTAGTCACTAAATGCCGTGGCCACATCGGACAACCCTTGTGACAACTAAACCTGCCGCAGGGATGCCCAGAATGTCCCCCCCCTCCCCCCCACCCCGGACAATACTCGCAAATTGAGGACGGCTGGTCTACGTTCTACCCCTTCTACCCCCTCAGGTCTCCTGTTTCCACCAGGGGTGGGCTGGGAAATGCTTAACAGACGGCTCCCTGGGGCAAAAATAATCCCTGGTTGGTAGCATGTGGTGTGAATGGTAAAAATTTTGATGGTATAAACACCACCCCCCTCCCCCACCCCATGGCCAATGTCAAGCAACCAACATCGTATCTTAGAACACAGACTTGCAGAGAACATTGTTCTTGATACCCCGCGTACAGACACAATACATGTAAATAACCCCAAGAGACAGACGATAGGAAAACCTACGAAAATAATCCGGGCAGGAGGAATTTCGAGTTTTGGTTTGACAAAACGTATTCGATTGTGATACATGTTCAAAAGTGTATTTGTTTTGTTTTGTTTTGTTTCGACTGAGAACCAACTTAACCAAAAAAATTCAAACTTAAAAAAAATTTTTTTGGGGGGGATGTTTATTTATCTTGAAGGAGAGAGAGAGCGTGAGCAGGGGAGGGGCGGAGAGAGAGGGAGACAGAGAATCCGAAGCAGGCTCCAGGCTCTGAGCTGTCAGGGAAGAGCCTGCTTCGGGTCCTCTCCCCTGCTTCCCCCCGCCTCTTCCCCCACTTGCACTCTCTCTCTCTCTCTCTAACATAAATAAACATTAAAAACAAAATTTTTAAAAAAAGTTATGTGTACACTCTATTTTAGTCTATTTTTTTTGTTTTGTTTTTAGAGAGAGAACACTTTTTTTTTTAATGTTTCTTTTGAGAGAGAGCGAGCGAGTGAGCAGGGCAGGTGCAGAGAGAGGGAGAGAGAGAGGATCCCAAGCAGGCTCCACACTGTCAGCACAGAGCCCGATGCGGGGCTCGAGCCCACGAGCCTCGAACCCTGAGGCACCCGGGGGCCCCTTGTGTGATTAGTTCTACGAAATTTCCAGAGTAGGCAAATCCACAAGCAGATTCGTTGCCGGGGGGTTGGGGAGAGAGAAATAGTGATTCCTGACGGGTACCGGCCTCTTTCCGAGGGAGTGGAAATGTTCCGTGATGGGATGGTCTGCCTCTCACACATGCCTGAGCCTGGCCTGTCCCAGGAGCCTCCGTTTATGTTCCTCCCACACTGCCCCTAGGCCCAGGTCCCAGCATCCCCTGTGTCTTGCTGTGACCTCAGACCCCAAGGCTCAGAAAGCCAAAGACAGGGGCGCCCGGGTGGCTCAGTCGGTTGAACGTCTGACGTCGGCTCAGGTCACGATCTCATGGTTTGTGGGTTCGAGCCCCGCGTCGGGCTCTGTGCTGACAGCTCGGAGCCTGGAGCCTGCTTGGGATTCTGTGTCTCCCTCTCTCTCTCCCCCTACCCCCCTCCCCGCTCATGCTCTGCCTCTCCCTCTCTCTCAAGAATAAATACACATTAAAATAGTGGTAATAATAATAATCATAATAAATAATAATAATAAAGAAAGCCAAAGAGAAAAACCCAAGGTCACACACAGAAGGTGACACAGACACAGTTTGTAATCGAGTCACTGGCTCCCAAACCCCTGGGGCACCCTTCCCCAGCCAACTCCTTTGCAAGCTGGGGGCCAAGTTCAGGCTGACACTTCCTGAGCCACCAGGAACCCCCATAAGCCTCTGTTCCTGGTCCCTCCCCAGGACATACTTTTATGTTCATTTTGCACCTTGAATAGTAATGAGACTAAAAATATCTGTAATGGCTGTAGGTCCCCTCAGGGCAGGAACTCTATCGATGTTCATTATGGCTCTACAACCATAACCTACTTAGTCCTTCCAACTGTGTGAGGTGATCCCTAGCAGCTGAGGCCCAGAGAGGTGCAATCACTTGCCCAAAGCCACCCAGCCTGGAAGTGGCGGAACTGGGATTTAAATCCTGAACCCGAAGCCTTTTTGTCTGTTTGTTTTGGCAGGCAGGCAATGACCAGTGACAGTGACTCTAACCCTGTCGTGGGTACCAATTGTAGACAAGATCCTGCACAAATACCTGCCACATTTCCGCAAACACTGATTCACGTCCTCTTGGCATCCAGCCAACATGCCCTGAGGAAGCCCAGCCTGTCCTGCGGGAGAGAGGCCACACAGAGGATGGCCGACAGTCCCAACCAAGTTCCCTGCTGAGCGCAGCCTCATGAGAGACCTCAGACATCACACGGAGCGGCGAAACACCCAGTCGATCCACGCAATCGTGACAAATAATAAATTCGGCACTTAACGCCATTACATTTGGGGGACAGCTTGTTACGCAGCATTAGCTGACTGAAACACCTCCCGTTAAGGTGACAGTTCCCTGAGAGCAGGAACCATGTCCGTTTTGCTCCCTCGTGGGTCCCCACTGTCTAGAACGTCTCCTGGAAGATAGTAGGGGCTCTATACATATTTGTGGAGGGAAGGAAGGAAGGAAGGAAGGAAGGAAGGAAGGAAGGAAGGGAGGAAGGGAGGGAGGGAGGAAGGGGTTTTCAGACCTCCATCTCCTGGGATGATGTCTGTGAGACGTAGGTGCAGCTGACGACTGCCCACCAGCCTCTATGCGTATGATAAAGTGTTGGTGGGGGTACGTCTACCTCATTCCATGAGGGGATGGGGCCGGGGCCGGGCCCTCATTCCTGGGGCCGGGGATGCCAGAATGAGGAGGAATCTTCGTTACCTGGCCAAGAATGTTCCCGCACCCCGTGACTTTGGAACATTTTGCCAGACCTCTATGTAGGTAAACAGCTTGCTGATGAGTATCTGAGTCCGGGATGTGTTGTGGTTATTAACCACGGGGTTAGAGGGGCCCCGGGCTGCATGTGGGATTTGTGGACGGGGCGCTTGTGGTGACCACACACAAAGGGGCATGGGGATTGCAGAGGGGAGGGTGAAAGACTGGAGCTCCCCACCTCCCACCATCCATGGGCTCTGCATCAGTCATGAGACACTCAGTGTAAGCTAAAGGGCGATTTCAAACCTTCTTCCAGCCTCCCCGTGAGGGCTCTGAGCGGCTCCCACCATTAAGGTTACCTGTGGCCTCTGCCATCAGACTGGGAGCTCTGTGGGGTGGAAACCAGGGCCAGGCCACCCCTAAGCTTTTCCCCAGGGCACAAAAAGAGGTGTTGGTAGGGGTACCTGGGTGGCTCAGTCAGTTAAGCCTCCGACTCTGATCTCAGGGTCGTTGAGTTCAAGCCCCGCGTCGCGTCGGTGGGGAGCCTACTTAAAAAAAATAAATAAATAAAAGGGGGCATTGGTGGAATTTCTTCAAAACGTGTTATGGAATTGAAATTCAACAACATGCACAAAAGCAGACAGGCCAGTACAACAAAGCCCCAAGCACCCAGCAGTCAGTTTTCAACTTGTGTTGCCAGCCTCCCTTGGTCTGTAGCTCAACTGGGCCTTCTCATTCCATCCCTGAACATTTCAGGGTGTTCCTCTGACTGGTAAGAATACTTAAAAATGAGGGGCGCCTGGGTGGCGCAGTCAGTTAAGCGTCCGACTTCGGGTCAGGTCATGATCTCGCGGTTCTTGAGTTCGAGCCCCGCCTCGGGCTCTGTGCTAACGGCCCAGAGCCTGGAGCCTGCTTCGGATTCTGCGTCTCCCTCTCTCTCTGCCCCTAACCCACTCACGCTCTCTCTCTCTCTCAAAAATAAATAAACATTAAAAATTTTTTAAATTAATTAATTAAATAAAAATTTAAGTGTAGAACAAACACCATGCTGTTACCAGCCCTACAATTAAGTCATTTCTGAATATCATAATATCCAAATTATAATTTCCCCGATGGTCTCAAAGCTGTCTTTTTTCTTTCCTCCTCCTCTTCTTCTTCCTCCTCCTCCTCCTTTTATTTTTTTATTTTTTTAATGTTTTCTTATTCTTTTTTTTTTTTTTTATTGGAGGGGCACCTGGATTAATGTTTACTCACTTTTTTTTTCTTTTTTTTAATTTATATATGAAATTTATTGTCAAATTGGTTTCCATACAACACCCAGTGCTCATCCCAAAAGGTGCCCTCCTCAATACCCATCACCCACCCTCCCCTCCCTCCCACCCCCCATCAACCCTCAGTTTGCTCTCAGTTCTCAACAGTCTCTTATGCTTTGGCTCTCTCCCACTCTAACCTCTTTTTTTTTTTTTTTTCCTTCCCCTCCCCCATGGGTTCCTGCTAAGTTTCTCAGGATCCACCTAAGAGTGAAACCATATGGTATCTGTCTTTCTCTGTATGGCTTATTTCACTTAGCATCACACTCTCCAGTTCCATCCACGTTGCTACAAAAGGCCATATTTCATTTTTTCTCATTGCCACGTAGTATTCCATAGTGTATATAAACCACAATTTCTTTATCCATTCATCAGTTGATGGACATTTAGGCTCTTTCCATAATTTGGCTATTGTTGAGAGTGCTGCTATGAACATTGGGGTACAAGTGCCCCTATGCATCAGTACTCCTGTGTCCCTTGGATAAATTCCTAGCAGTGCTATTGCTGGGTCATAGGGTAGGTCTATTTTTAATTTTCTGAGGAACCTCCACACTGCTTTCCAGAGCGGCTGCACCAATTTGCATTCCCACCAACAGTGCAAGAGGGTTCCCATTTCTCCACATCCTCTCCAGCATCTATAGTCTCCTGATTTGTTCATTTTGGCCACTCTGACTGGCGTGAGGTGATACCTGAGTGTGGTTTTGATTTGTATTTCCCTGATAAGGAGCGACGCTGAACATCTTTTCATGTTCCTGTTGGCCATCCGGATGTCTTCTTTAGAGAAGTGTCTATTCATGTTTTCTGCCCATTTCTTCACTGGGTTATTTAATGTTTACTCACTCTTGAGAGAGAGAGAGAGAAAGAGCACGAGCA